GAGACGTACTCGGTATATACACGTGTCTCACTAAGTAGAGACGTACTCGGTATATACACGTGTCTCACTAAGTAGAGACGTACTTGGTATATACACGTGCTTAATCTGAGTGAGAAGTTGCTTTCATATAAAATTTTAACGACTAACTTAATCGTACTTTATTTCATTATCTACGGCCTGGAAAAAACCAGTCACATCAAAAGTACTTTGTCAGCTAGTTTGAAGAAATGCCGAAGCTTAAAAGAAGATCTGTATCTCAAAGAAATGTCGAGATAGCTAGGAGAATGAGAGAAAGAAGAACTGATGATGAGCTTCGCTTGTTAGATAATAGAAGACGAGCAAATTCTCATAAAATTGAACGACGAAATAATGAATTCAAAACAGAAGAAAATAAAAGAAGAGCCGAAGCTCTGAAAATTTCACGACAAGATGATGAATTCAAAACAGAAGATAATAAAAGAAGAGCCGAAGCTCATAAAATTGAGCGACAAGATGATGAATTCAAAACAGAAGAAAATAAAAGAAGAGCCGAAGCTCTGAAAATTTCACGACAAGATGATGAATTCAAAACAGAAGATAATAAAAGAAGAGCCGAAGCTCTGAAAATTGCACGACAAGATGATGAATTCAAAACAGAAGAAAATAAAAGAAGAGCCGAAGCTCTGAAAATTGCACGACACGGCGATGAATTCAAAGAAGAAGAGAGAAGAAGAAATGCATTAAGAATACACAATAATAGAGATAAATACAAAAGTAATTTTGATGGCATGAAATCAGATTATGAGTCAAAAATAAAAGAAGGACCTACTCATATTTGCAGCTGTTGTGGTGGTTTATGGTTTGAGTATTCAATCAGAGAATTTACAGTTGAGATGTTAACAAACAAAGGATTAAAAAAAGAATTTATCGATACAGTTTGTTATCTCAAAAATACAATCATTAAATTATGTGTCACTTGCAGAAAGGACATCATGTCGAATAAGGTACCTAATCTCAGTCTATCTAATGGTTTAGCATTCTATGAAGTACCGGATTGCTTGAAAACCTTGACTGAATTAGAAGAAAGATTAATATCGCCAAGAATTCCTTTTATGGTTATTCGAAGTTTAGGTTCTTGTAAACAATTCGGTCTCAAGGGTAACCTTGTAAATGTTCCCATGAATGTTGATACGAATGTTTCAGTATTGCCTAGAAGTTTCAGTGATACTCACACGATTCAATTGAAACTCATGAGACAAATGAAAAATAAAAATGCTTTTATGTATGAAACAATTCGACCAAAAGTTGTGCATAGTGCTGTAAAATATTTGGTTGAGCAAGAGCTGTATAAAGATGAAGGAATTGTAATATCTCATGATTGGCTGAAAGAATATTCTAACGAGAGAGAGAATTTTATCATCGATGATGAAGATAAGAAATTCGATGAAAATGAAAACATCAGCAAAGATTTTGATGACGAGGACAAATGGAATGAATGTGACGATAAACCAGTCAATCCAAGTACTACTGAAACATTATTAAATGACGAGATTGGTGATCAGAGTGATATTGGTATCAAATTTGCTCCAGGAGAGAATAACAGGCCGATATCGATTTTAATGGATTTAAAAGTCGATGAATTAACATTTCCGAAAATTTATTGTGGCAAGCAAAGAAAAATCAAAGCGAATGTTAAATTAACTTATGCTAAGATTGCCAAGTCAGAATTAAGAATGTTTGATCGAAGATGTGGCAGAATATCGAAATTGTTTTTCACATATAAGAAACTACAAACGAGAAAGTTCTCCGATGCTATTTCAATAAATTTGAGAAAGACAAAAAATACAAAAAACATAACTGTTGCACAAATGCTTAATCGAGCTTATGTCAATGGATTGATTCATAATGATGATGCTTTTACATTCCTGAGATGTGATCGATCGTCACCAGCGTTCTGGGAACTAAAGAAAAAGGAAGTTATGGCGATGATCAGACAGTTAGGATGTCCAACACTATTTTTAACATTATCAGCAGCAGAAACAAAGTGGTCGGAACTTATTATAATATTAAGTCAAGTGTTGGAAAATAAAGTAATAACATTAGAGGAGGCAGAAAATATGAGCTATGAAAAGAAATGTGATTTGATAAGAAATGATCCTGTAACATGTGTTCGTTATTTTGAACATAGATTAAAATGTTTATGGGAGATATTATCGGCACCTTGTGGTCCATTTCAAGGCTATGAATTAGAAGATAAATATGTCAGAGTTG